CACTGAATGTATGTTTTACTAACGGCTGTAACACCTCCATCATATGTACTTTGTTAGATATGATCTTCAAGAAGCTGGACATGTGTGGTCAATTAAAATGTGTTGCCATGGCGCAGGACCTGTAGATGGTGGAAATTTAAATACACGTGATTAATTCGTCTGGCAATATTTGTGCCATATCACCCAGAGATACACTTTAAAATAATTTGCTTTATGTTATAGTGCACAGCATCTGACATACATGGCGTCAGAAATAGCTGTGTAATAATGGACTTTATTGTATCTGCAGGTATAATTACTGTGTGCAGTTAGCTTGGTTGTGTGACCCGTAGCTTTGTTCTGCTTGAACCCTAAGATAGCTGGAATCATTGCAGCAAGCCTAACATAGAGGCGTTTATAATCTACGTGTAACGTTCAACATAACATTACCAGTCTATAGCTTTAAATAGGGTTCATTAAAGGGAAAGAGTGACTTCCAGTGATTTTCTACATTATGGTTAGTTTTCTCTATTATTAATAAATATGTATTTGTGAGATGTGAAATAAATAAAATTAAATGTAAAAATCCACACCTCCTGATCATGAAGCTGGCCGCCGTCATCTTAACTCCCTGTCAAACATTGTTATTAGCTCTGTCCTTTGTACCTGGCGGTCAGCATAGCGAAATCTTACAGAGAAGAGGAGAAATTAAACAATGTTTCTATTTATCTTTATTTGCATTGTTTGCCTCGTCTGAACTGGATTACGATGTGACTTGGTAAATCTTTCATAAAAATGTAAAAGATAATGGAGCATCTCGTTAAAAAAACGGTTAACACAAGGTATAAGGGATGTTTTACTCAACGTATAAATCCTGGAGAAGTGACAGTTCCCTTTAAAGATGTTTTTTCTGTGGTTTATGAAAACAGAGAGATATTTATACTGAACATTTATGAAAGACGTATAGGAGATATTCTAAACAGGATGTGAATACCCTGTAATCATGACAAAAGGAGAAGTTATCTACTGCCTCTTGGACAGAGATGTGGATGAAAATGTTTACAAAAGGACAAGCGAAATGGGCAGGGCCAGCGCGTCCTATAGGCAGCTTAGGCAGTTGCCTCGGGCACACCGTACCAGGGGATAGGGGGTGCAAGATTTAAGTAACCCGGCAGGAGGGAAGCGCACAGCTTAAGGACACCAAATAAGGATGCTATCTACTTAAGACATACACATTTATATACACACATAATAACACAATAGATGTTGTGACGAGACCAATCTCGCCACATTGCATTAGAGAAGCCTGGTTGCTCGCCTGTTGCCTTTGGATTATGGCCCCATGTTAAAAGACTTCTTTTCCCCTGCAGAAAAGGCTTATTCGTGCCTTTCTGCCCGGCGGTCGGTAGATTCAATCTACCGAACTAACGCACGAATGACTGGACCACCAAGGAGCTGGAGTGTATCGGCAATTAACCTCCCAGAAGCTGCGGTTAACCGCAGCTTAATTGACGAATGCTGGGTGGCCTTTGTTCGGTTGCCGAACGCGTGGCGGTGCCCATTTTAAAGTCCTGAACGACCAGCGGTGTTCAGCGCCCAAACTGTGGAACTGTAAACGGACACTTATTTGCGCGAACGCCGCTGAGCCGTCAGCCTCCTTGCTTCTGCATTCGGTCAGTTAACCGAATGCCTGTTCATTCGGTAGTTTAAACCGTATGAACAGCATTACCCCAGATAGCCATCCCGTGGAGTCTATTCATATGGAGAACAGACTTTGTGAACACTTTAACTCCACGGCGATTGGACTGTGTGCATAGGATCTGAGCGCTATTCGGTACTTTTGTGCGCTCAGATCCCAGCTATCTGGGGATGGGTTGCAAGTATATATTTTGTGTGATAAATGTAATATTGTGTATTTTATTGTGTTTTAGTGTTTTACTGTAACCATGTGGGTAATGGAGTTTTGCCTCTGACCTTGGAGATAATTGGATTACTTCACAATTATCTCCAGGATAGAGGGGATGGATTGTAATGTATTGGGGGAGTGTTTTAACCATGTCTGCCTGTGATTGGTCATTGTACTATTTGTGTCCCAGTCTCCCATTTGGTCCCCTAGGGGAGTATCCACCAGGTGGGAGACCTGTATAAATACTGGGCAGGTAGCACTCATTAAAACAGACCACTGCTTGACCCTCAACACGGAGCTCTGTCTCGTTCTTGGGGAGGATTTACTGTATGCTGATAGAGACTGATTGCTAGGAGTGTACAGATGTATGTCTGTGTGTGTGTACATCTGTGGTTGTGTATATACACACACAATCAGATACATACAACCACATAACCAGATATACACACACACACACACACACACAATCACAGACCCACACATACAATCACAGACCTACACACACAATCACACGCATAAACACACATAATCAAAACACACACTTAACCACAGAAATGCACACACAATCACACACAATCATCACATACATACACACATTTAATAAGAGGTCATCCCAACCTTCATACCTTGCTCTGGGCGGGCTGGTGGTCAGTGGTTGCTGCTGGGATCTCTGTGCTATTCCTGCACAGGTCCCTCGCGTTCACTGTAATGACGCAGATGCTGGGATGATGTCATATCCCAGCTGTCGGCTTACTGCAGGGCACAGACTGTCAGACACAGTCAGATGCACACAGTTATACACATATACTGTCATATACAGTATATACCTTGTGGCACCTGGGGCAGACAACCCCCCCACCCCACCCTTAGCACGCCACTAAATCCAGTATATTATTAGTGGCACTAATCTCTAATTTACCTCACATTAAAGCGACACTATAGATTTAATTTACCTCACATTAAAGCGTCACCAGAACCACTACAGCTTAATGTAGTGATCCTGGTGTCTATAGCCTGTGCCTGCAGGTTTTATAATGTAAACACACTGCCTTTTCAGAGAAAAGACACCGTGTGCAGCACTGCCGTTGGCTCATATGGCAGATCATATGGGTGGGGCATTGTGACATGTGGGGCAGCACATTTTTGTTTGCCTAGGGTGGCAAAAATCCTTGCACCAGCCCTGGAGATGGGAAGGGGAAAGGAGAAAGGAAAGTGATTGGGCTCATATAAAGCACAATTGACAACGAGTAAACTGAAAAGCGAATAGGGTAAGCAACGATGTGATGTAAGTGGGTGGACAATCGATAAGAAATGTATGTACGGTTGGGGATAGAGAGAAATTGGTAATGTGGTATCAGGAAGTAGGGGAATGTGGAAGTGTTAAAAAATGAATAGGAGAGGGCATGTGATACAGAGGATAAGAGACTAGAGTAAAGAGGATAAGTGACATGACAATGCAATGGTTTGGCAAGTGACATGTAGTTGTAAAGGAGTGAGTAAGTAACATAGATAGGGAGTTGCAAGTGACATGGGAATGGAGAGAATGTGCATATTGGAAAAATTTGGTTCGGCCGAAATGTTTCCTTAATTCAGTCGAATTAATTTCAGTGGTTCGGCTAATCTGAATTTTGGCCAGGCAAAGAATGTATGGAAAACACTTTGGATGAACGAAATGGACTATCACTGTACTGCAAAATATATACATAATATTTAGTTACGTTTTATTTTTGTATGTGACTCATTTTCGCACCCTTTTAATTTAACTAATTCTGGTCAAATTCGGTCCATGTGGGTCAGTACTCATGATTTTGAGCATTCGCTTGCCTTTGAACATTTGATTGTGTATTTTAATTGTGTATTTGATTGTGTACTGTGTTCAGTCTGGCTTATCCCTGGTTTCTTCTTCCCTCCTTCCTTTCCCTTTCCCTAAATCATCAATAGTCTCTTCTTTTGTTGCCGTAGATGTAACATTGAACCACTAATCAAACAAACCTGTTTGATCATTTCATTCCATTTTTTTCATGATATACCCATATGGCACTTCAGAGATATGGAATTTGCAGAACCCACAGATTAGCCAAAAGTTTGGATGAATTGCATTTCATTTGAAACCGAATGCACAAGTCTAATGGTCAAGAGACACAAGTAGAGGAATGGATGAGGACAAATGACAGACTGAGGAAGACAATGGGCAAGTGATGTGGGTTTTATTGAAAAGGGAGTCAGGTAAGTAAAAAGAGTACGTAGAAAAATGGGCAAGTGACATGAGATTAGAAGAGAAGTGGAATGATGCCAGCTTTATTTCTCTCTTCTATGTCTCTGAGGGTCTATGGTGCTCCTCAAAAGGGAGAGGTAAGTATATGCAGTCAGTGGCTGGAATGGAGAGGATATAGTGCGGATAGTAAAATAAAGCGAAAAAATATATAAAATATAGGTTTATAGGATGAAATGTGACACATAGGTTATAAAATATAGGATTGAGTATGTCAAATATTAAAGTATTTGGGGATAAGTAGTGGCAACTAGATTACGATATGTGGAAAATCTTTGACGTGGTGAAATATGAGATAAAAGTCAGACTGAAAGAATAGGAAATTGATTTATATAGAGAAAAGTGAAGTATATCTGAGACTGAGAGAGAGACAAATTGAGTTGCAGAGAAAATTGGGGTACATTTAAAACTAGGGAGAATTAGGGAAAAACCATGAAGAGTATTCAGAAGCATGGAAAACCATGTAGTGCAATGTTTATAATGAGGAATGTATTCCCTAAATAGCAAAATGCAATATTTGATAGAAAGCTAGTAAGTTTGGTACTTTGGCCAAAATCTCCCAACCTTTCTGTGAATTTACTACAGCCCACTTTTAGCGGATTGAGCGCCACATAATGCGGACCTCACTGGGTCTCACAACAACATCGGAGACCAACTAGAAGCGATCTTTAACCGCTTTTGGACTGCACTGGAGGAAAGGAGGAGGCTACATGCGGTTGACACTGTACCCCTGCCTGAATCATTGCAACACTGTGAGGTGAGATTTTTGGGGCTCCGCACAGGCAAAATAACCCTAAGGCACCTCCCCTAAGCCAAACCCTCCTAAACCTCGGGCCAAACCAGGGTCGACCCCAGGGCACCAAACACGCTGACAGAAGAGAGCAACACGCAGAACCTTATGCACCAACCCGGCCGGACAGACCTCGGCCTCCAGCAGACACTGAGTTTGTGGCAGCGTGGTGCAGATCCCATCTCAGGCCGGAGCCAGGAGAGTCGCCTCACACCGATTCTACAAGGCCACCCACCCTCATAAACTGTACCCACGCGGACGTTCTGAACCCAGCCAGGGTATTGGATGACTGCCTTTCAGGCGGATCGGAACAGCCAGCCAGACATGCAAGCGTGCCTTCTCAGAACACTCATGACACCGCAAGATATATATATATATATATATGACACTATGCCCCCCATGCATCTTTTGCATCTTTTGTTTGTTTATTAATTATGATTTCCAGCAGTGCAACACTTCTTGAACTAAGGCAGCAGGGGCTATCCATACCTAACAAGTCTCTAACTACTCCTTTAATACCATGTCTTATATTCTTGATAAAGTCCACTTTAAGCCACTTAAGCAGACGTGTCTAGCTAATTAGGACATGTTTGAATGCCTCTAATTACTCTTACATATTGAATAATCACTGTATGTTTACTGTCTCAAGCTTGATGATACCAACGTGACCCACCACAATAGACATACATAGTTAGCCTCTCTTATGAATTTTACAAAATTGTGCTTTTCTCTGAATGCCATGCAAATGGTAACGTATGCTTGTTTTCAAATATCCTGTAACTGCTGTCGTGGCATTGCAAGTATGCTTCTATTATCTCATGCACAGCAAAAAATAAAGAATTAAAAAACAAAACATTAAAATGAAAAAAAAAACTCCCTATTTTTTTTTCTGTAACGTCCTTCAAACTGCCTCAATAAAAAAAGATTGACAAAAAGTGTGTATTTTTCTGAAGCATTGCTCACTATGGGCGGCACATGAAAGCATCAGCCTAGGGGACTGCACTTAAGTGTGACTGTTTGAAAACGGTTTAACATTTAAAGGTAATTGTAGCGGAGCGGCAATATTAAATCCTACGATCTCCGCTGGTTAAGAAAGTAATCCAAAGTAAAGCGCTGGAAAGTAAGGCAATATCCCAAATCCCCCAGTAACCGGACGAAACACAGTTCTGGGAGTCAACTGAGGTTTTTATTCACAGCTCCAGTATTTATGCAAGTCCCCATGCAAGGGGTTTCCCTACTGACATTGCAGGGGTAATACAGTAGGGGACTACATGGGGGACTTAACATTCTGGGTATTTCTCCCATCAGGCACTGCTGCACGAGAGGGATGCTCCCACTGGAATATACTGTTAAATGGATTATCCCTCCGTGCAGCAGAACCGACAATACTCTTTTAAATGCATAACTTTTGCAATACTTAGTCTATTTAAACGAATGGACGTTTGGTAGATAGCTGGGGTCTGAGTGCACAGTTCGTGAGAATACCGCTCAGATCCCAGCTAAAACAACCGAATGCCGCATGAAATATACTTTGCCATTGAGTTCGCCACAAAGTATCGAACAGCGATGGGGGAACCATAATGGCGAAAGACCGGAGCTCCTGAACGGCCTGGAAGTCCAGCGGTGTTCGCGCCATCGAGTAGCCATTTTCAGTTCCATGCGCTCGACGACCAAACACCGCTGGGGAGACAAAGGATCCATGATGGCCGACCGTCCCTCTCTGTGTGGACTATTAGGGGATAGCTCATTCGGTTCACGAACAGCCTGTAAAGTGGCTGTTCGTGAAACGAAACACATGAATGCTAGCGGCTTTCGGCTGCTAGCAGACAAATGCAAAATACACATACAATAATACACAGGGTACAGCCAGGGAATGCAGGAAGTTATGCGAATAATACAAGCAACCTTTTTCTACATATAGTCCAGGTTATCACAAGTGGCTAGGTTTGCCACAGTAATAATTCATCAGAGGGCTTCCGACACCATAACCACTTCATTGATGTGATGTGGTTTTGGTGCCCAGCGTTGTCCTTTAATTTTGCAAATAGATGCCCAAAATTTCTATTTTACTATTTAAAAGTAAGGAATGTATTTATATCAGGATCATATGGTATCAATTTGAAGTTCAGCAGTATATTCCCCCTTCTGTTAGATGCATTTTATATCAAGAGAAATGATTCTGAAAGGTTTAGATTTTACAAGTGAACCTGTGATAGGATTGATGGAAAAAACCTGGCTTGTGTTTGCTCCTCAAATTAGGCAAGAAAAGCTATTTTCCATTCATTTTACAGGGATGGCACATAGTACAGTTTAGAACTTGCCTTTTGGCACTTTTCTGTTTTCAAGAGAGGATCGTTAGGGTCTCCTGGCTTAGCTGAGCCAGAAGAGGGTTAAGTAGTTCTGTCTAACAGCTGTCATTTGCAATAAACATTCCAATATGATTACACAAGGTTCTGTAGTAGCACTGAGGCCCATTCTCATAATGAGATTAAAGGAGTTTTCGTCTCTTCACAGCCTTTATTTTTATATATAAAAGTTTGGATTACACCTGGCATTGCATATTTCATTTGAAACGTTCCATATTTATTTTAGACAATAAAAATAATTAATTTTATGTGAATGATATCAAGGCAACTTGTTAAAGGGCTACTCCAAAATAAACTTCTGCTTTTAAGTTGTTATGGTGGTAGGAGTCAGTATGTGCAGTGTTTCAGCTTGAAGCCTTTGATTGGACCTCACGCTCCTCCGATAATGTTGTAGTAGAAATGTGGAACTGCACTCAATCCCAAGTATTGTGTATCTGTGTGCAACCAGGCCAGTCCCAGTACCATGGACCAAATATTTAGTAAATAGAAGAAAGGTCCAGCTTGACAAAGACCGTGTAGGTCAAAACGTTGTGAGTGGCAGTGGGTTCAATAAATTTGCCTTTTTGTACCCTGGAGTGCCTGGACCTTTCTTCTATTTTTGCTCCTCCAATAATGTCATGAAGGGGGGGGGGGGAGTTTAAAGCCCGTCGCTGGATTCCAGGTAAGTAAAACATTTAAAAAAAAATTTTTTTAAAAAACTTATGGGGAGTAGGGGCTAAAGCATAATGCCCAGTACGGCTTTATTGATTAAATAAATATGTAGAAAAAGGGTTGTAGTAACCCTTTTTCTGTTCAAAAGTACTTTATAAAGATATGACTATTTTGTCTTCTATACAATGTTTTAAACGTGTCATTGCCACTAGACCCTGACTTTGCATCAGGATAACTGATGCACATTAACACAGGTCAAAAGGAGTCATTGTCCCGACAAAGTGGTAAATTGCAATCCTGCATCATAATATTGTCTGACATTCGGCCAGGGTCGATTGAGTGTTTTCAATGTGATTAGAACAAAAAATGTCGCAAGCTATGTACCGTCCTTTACCATCTGCCTTACTTTACCATTTCCCAACAGTCATCACTTGCTGGTTGCTCAATATGCTAGAGATACATATGGCATCTCATTGTGTATAAGGGTAAAGATCTGTAAATAATCTCACAAAGATCCTCCATAGCTCTCTGTGTAACTGAGCTCCAGTACTCAGGCTGAGCACCTCTGTCAGTTCAGCTTCATCGCTGATACTTTCGAGTAATTCAGACCCAGTTGCCAAAACTGAACTGGGGTCTCTGGGGACCTCCTCCACTGGACATGGCTGCAGTGGGTATAGCTCTCTTTCATTTGGATGCCCTCTCTCCTTCCAGGTATTGACCCTTTATCCTGTGCCTCTTCTGTTAATTCCCAGGCAGGTATCGACACCTCTGCCTGCAGTTCATCCAACCAACTCCTTTACAAAGGCGCTTGTGACTCTCAGGCCTAGCTCATTCTTAACACTACCGGGACCAGGCAGTAGTGCAGCCAACATAATACAAATTTAAAATTGGTAGGCACACTCCAAATGTTAATAAAGACAGTCTCAAGAAGGAGCTAAGCAAATGATACTGGGTGCTCACTCACACATGGTCCCATTCCCAAAGGACCAAAAAAAATTACAAATACTACCCAAGCAAGGAGCACAACCATAAATATATATAAAAATCTTTATTAGATGGGTCCACAGCAAATGGATATCTCATCATATATATCAATAAATCAAAACAAAAACAAACATTCCCATACAGATGGTACAGAGAAATTACCAAAATTACACATGGATTTCAAGATCAGAGACAACATGGGTTTACTTCAGGGAGATCATGCCAAACTAATCTTCTTGATTTTTTTGATTGGGTAACTAAAATAATAGATCAGGGTGGTGCAGTAGACATTGCCTACCTAGATTTCAGTAAGGCTTTTGACACTGTTGCACATAGAAGGCTTATCAATAAACTGCAATCTCTAAGTTTGGATTCCAATATTGTTGAATGGGTAAGGCAGTGGCTGAGTGACAGGCAACAGAGGGTTGTAGTCAGTGGAGTATATTCAAAGCTTGGACTTGTCACAAGTGGGGTAACTCAGGGATCTGTACTTGGACCCATTCTCTTTAATATTTTTATTAGTGATATTGCAGAAGGTCTTGGTGGTAAGGTATGTCTTTTTGCTGATGGTACCAAGATATGTAACAGGGTTGATATTCCAGGAGGGATAAGCCAAATGTCAAAATTATTTAGGTAAACTAGAAACATGGTCAGAGTTGTGGCAACTGACATTTAATGTGGATAAGTGCAAGATAATGCATCTTGGACTTCAAAACCCAAGGGCAGAGTACAGAATATTTGATAGAGTCCTAACCTCAACATCTGAGGAAAGGGATTTAGGGGTGATTAATTCTGATGACTTAAAGGTAGGCAGACAATGTAATAGAGCAGGAGGAAATGCTAGCAGAATGCTTGGTTGAATAGGGAGAGGTATTAGCAGTAGAAAGAGGGAAGTGCTCATGCCATTGTACAGAACACTGGTGAAACCTCACTTGGAGTATTGTACGCAGTACTGGAGACCGTATCTCCAGAAGGATATTGATACCTTAGAAAGGGTTCAGAGAAGGGCTACTAAACTGGTTCATGGATTGCGGGATAAAACTTACCAGGAAAGGTTAAAGGATCTTAACATGTATAGCTTGGAGGAAAGACGAGACGGGGGGTATGATAGAAACAATTAAATACATAAAGGGAATCAACACAGTAAAGGAGGATACAATATTTAAAAGAAGAAAAACTACCACAACAAGAGGAGATAGTCTTAAATTAGAGGGGCAAAGGTTTAAAAATAATATCAGTATTACTTTAAAGTATTACTTTACTGAGAGGGTAGTGGA